ACTGAGTAATACAAAATGAACCAGTACCAGTCTCATATACCACACCAAAACTCACAATTCACTACGACAATCAAATCAAACGCATATCACATTAACCTTTATCCCGATGTATCGTTCAACTCAATCTATATCTAGCCTAATGTCTAGTTAACGGACTTCCCGCATTCACCTAATACTATGCAGTTTGCTTCAATTGCTAGCTCAATTGTTGCTGATCTCCGTGTGAAGTTAACAAAGACTCGAAAAGATAACTCCTTCTGTCTACCCATCTAAACCCTTCCGTCTACCCAACGAATTTAATCTTACCAAATCATATCATCTTCAAAGGATGACGTCCCTATCCAACCACATAACACTCCAATAGTGCATTATATCCATTTCGATTACTTTCACATGCTTACATTCCTATTGCTATTTGACCCACTTAATCAATGTAAACAACTAGTTTCAGATCCGCTGCTGCCGCTGCTTCAGTTAATTCCATCATTGGCCTAGTTTCCAACTGATCATCTGAACCCGTTTTAAGAGGACTGCGTCGATCCTCACTTACGAATAATTTCTACGAATAATTCGCCCTTATTCTCACAATACTCATGCCGTATCTCCTCTATCCCAATGCTCAATAATCCCAAATCCTTAAGCGTTCCTAATCCCACTCCCAATCGCCACGAGTACGCACTGATACGGATCAACACTTAACAATGACAGCAAAAATGATGAACTCTGAAAAAAGTTTTTGTAATGATGACAAAAACTGCTTACAACCTCGTAACCGTCTTCTCCTTTCTTTTTTTTCTTCCCTCCTTTTTTCTTGCTTCGTGCCGCTCGTCTTTCCTCCTTTTCGCGTTCCTCTTCGTCCAACTGCTTCTCGTGTTCTTTAAGCAAATGTTCAAATTCTTGATCGCTATCCTCTGTAATTGCACTCTTCAATCGCGTTTCCCCAAATTCCACTTCTAGTAATTTGCTCAAATTAGTCTTTTATACTTCCCTATGACTTCAAATTATCCCTGCATTTACCACTGCCGAGTTATGACTGTCATTCCTTTACACCATACCATAGACTATAGTTAACTGTAAGTAATGATAAAATGTTCCCTTCATAATCTTATCTCACAATACTAGATTGAGTATTGACTCTATTCATGGACCCATTGTCTCTTTATCTGTCATAACGATTTGACAATTTTCATCTTGTTTCATTGCATATATTCTAACAAATGTTTTCATTCGATACTCGAAAACCCAAGTACGAAATCATTACAGTATCCATTAAAATTTGTTTCCTAGCAAATGCTTTCTCTGTACGATTAATATACACCCTCGTGAATGTTTCACTGATATGACCATTCGATTTCATGTCATTATCCCTCATGTTAGCATGTTCATTACCCCTCATATGCTGTTAAATATTCTCCTTCTTTAGGCCACTTATTTATAGTACCTTATCATCTCAATTCAAATCATATATTAAACTAATCACCGTTCATTCAAATCCCCTCCAGTGATCACATCAATCCACATTTCCCAATAACATTCCATCTATCGCACTGATCACAATCAACTTCATTTAACTGATCAATTGATCAAATGATCAAACTGTATTAAACACTCCCGCCAATTAACTGACTCTGTCACAACACAGTCACTCGTATTACTCTAATTATACTAACTAATGCTGTTATCTCTCATTTTCAGTTGTGCATTCAACGCGAATGGTCATTATTTTTACCAGCTGATGCTGCGATTGATTTCTATTTTTTCACTTCTATCAATCCCTTAATATTGATTCATTCCGGATAATTATTTTAATAAACGTTTACCTATTCTCCTTCTTTTATTCACCTTTCAATTCATATTTCATTCTAATGAATATCTTGCCCGAATTTTACCTACCCAGTACCCAATATCTATTCCTCATGTATCCATATCTAAGTCGCTCGATATCTTCATATGGGTTTCGCATAACATTCCTAAGTCCTACCCAATTAAAATCTTGCGCAAGTAACAAATCCACGAATTCATCCTTATGCTATCATTTCATCCAACTACTTATTAATCTACTATTATTACTTTTACTATATTCATCACGTTTCTACTTTACAATATTACTTATAACCGTTATACTGTTCATCATTATGTAACTATTATTACTGTCACTAATGTTCTTATTCACATTTCAATATCAAACTATTACTGTTATTGATATTACTCATGAATCTACATAAAATGTTAAATATTTTAATAATCACAAAAAGAAAACTAACGATTTGTGTCATCGTCATCGTCGTCATTACGTTTCTTCTTACGGGCACTGATGCGAATCTTGATCGGTGCCACCACCTTCTCACCGTTTCCAATTGATGACCGCAATTTTTTTGACGAATTCCCTCCGATTGGACGTCCTTGTGATGCCATCTCATCCTGTATTTATTATGCTTCATCATTATAGTAATTACTATTAGTTATTTTTATCATTAACATAATTTTATATATTCTATAAATTATTATTTAAAATAATTATAAATGTGTACCTGATATTCACGGTACTTCGCTTGAACAATTTGTTGCACTTTCACCGAGAGTGCTTTTGGATTTGCGGCTTGAACCAACGGGCGTACACGTGCTGAGAACAACTGAAATTTCTTTTGTTTAATTTTTTTCTTACTTTTCATTATTTGACTTTTCTTGCTTTTAAATATGACGATCCAGTTAATTTCCGTACTCTTTTCATTAACACTTCTAAATTAAATATGTTAAAATGAACAATAAACAAACAAATAAATAAACAAACAAGCAGGTAAGCGAACTAACAAACAAAAAGCAAACCTTCGCCGTCGTGATATTCATATAATCCTCCTCAGTGAAATCC